TACATTAGAGGGAATCGACAGGGAAGTAGAGAAATCAAAGGCTAGAAAGTAGAGAAAGTAAAGGAGAGAGCGCAAGGAATTGAAAACCTATTGTAAGAAAAAAAATGACTGAAAACTTCCCTAACCTGGTGAAGGAAATGGACATATAAGCAAGGAAGCAAAGAGAGTCGCAAAGAAGATAAAGCCAAAGGGGCCCACACCAAGACGTGTTGTAATTAAAATGCCATAAGTTAAAGACTGAGAATCTTAAAAGTAGCAAGAGAAAAGCAGTTAGTTACCTACAAGGGAGCACCCATAAGACTGGCAGCTGATTTCTCAAAAGAAACTATGCAGGACAAAAGGGCTTGGCATAAAATATTCAAAGTGATGAAAACCCAGGACCTACAACCAAGATTACTTTACCCAGCAAAGCTATCATTTAGAATCGAAGGACTGATAAAGAGCTTCCCAGACAAGAAAAAGTTAAAGGAGTTCATCACCACCAAGCCAGTATTTCAGGAAAGGTTTGATGGTCTTCTTTAAGAAAAAGAGAAAAATATGTATCAGAAGTCTAAAGAATGGCAATAACTACATATCTATCAACAAGCACTTCAAATGGAAAAGAATTAAATGCTCCCATCAAAAGACAGGATAAGAATGGATTAAAAAAACAAAACCCTTACATATGGTGCCTACAAGAGACTCAGTTCAGATAAAAAGACACACAGAGACTAAAAGTAATGGGATGGAAAAAGATATTTCATGATGGACCTACAGAGTATTGTACTGAGTGGAGTAAGTCAGATAGAGGAAGATAAATGCCATATGATTGCATATATATGTTAAATCTAAAGAACAAAATAATAACAGCAAAAAACAGAAACAGACTCATAGATACAGAGAACATTTTGAGGGTTACCAGCTGGGAGAGGGGTGGAGGGGTCAGTGAAAATGGGGAAGGGATTAAGAAGTATAAATTCGTAGTTACAAAATAGTCATGGAGATAGAAAGTATAGCGTAAAGAATATAGCCAATAATATTATAATAACTACAGTATCAGGCACTAGATTTATTGGAGTGATCATTTTGTGAATTACATAGATGTCTAATCACTATGTTGTACACCTGAAACTAATATATTATATGCCAACTGTAACTAAACATTTTTTTAATTGAATATAAAATATGTTCTTAGTAAAACCTTTATAATTTTAAATATAGTCATCGTTATAAGCTGGATTTGTCACTTCCATATTAAATTAACAAAAATCAGGAAACGAGATGGTAAGAACAGAGAAAGATGGGAATAAGGATTTATATTTGATATAACTAAATTCAGCATAAGAATTAAAAATAATATTTCTACCTTCTGTGTCACTACAGAAGATGAAAGCAAACAGATATGGAAATACAAAACACAAAGCAAAACTTAATGGGAAAGCCAAATATTAGTTATGACGATAAGTAAATAAATGTGTTTAAATTTCCCTTCAAAAAGGAAAACTTCAGATTGGGTTAAAAAAATTATTTTCTTAAAGATTAAAAAGGGAAGCTAGATGAAGAAATATACAAGGCCTTATATAGTTGGCATTTGAACATTTATTGATAAACAAATAAGATATACTTTCATTTCAAACTTCTAGACCACAAAGAAACATCAGTGTATTTGAAAACAGAACTTGTGAATGTCTTGCTATGATCACACTGCAGTAAAAAAGGATGATAGTAGGTTGTTTTGATTTTGAGTTTTTGTTTGTTTTTGTTCTGTTTTGGCTAGCTGGACACCTTCCTAAGTAACACCTTCCTAAGTAACAATTGGGTGAATAATAAAAATATTCATGCAAATTATTAAGAATGAAAGGAAAAATATTGAAATTCATGGGAAGCGACCAATGTTCTATTCAGAGGTAAATTTATTTGAAAGGGCTTTCTTATATGAGCACATTACTGCATAAGTGATTTGCATTATGCTCAGTAGTCCGTGTGAGGAGCTGCAAGGTGTTAAACACAAATAAGTACTCAACTGGTAAAACAGTGAAACAACATTATGGCAGATTTTAAGTTTTAAATAAAAAAGGTAATCCTCTCTAGCAAGTCTGCTTAAAGGGGAAAAACTGCAAATAAAATTAGAAATTAGAAATGATACACATGGCAGAGATCTTAATGTATAAGAGATTGTTTTACACAGTTGGTCATTTACAACCAAAAGTATCCAAACTGGTGTGAGTAGAAAAAGGACTCTGTTATCCTAAGTAATTGAATCGTCCTAGTCAAATGATTGGCCAGTTCCTGGTAAAAGGAAAAATTAAAACTGTATGAAATATCAAAGTACTGTAAATACATGTTTATATTCATAGGAAAAAAGATAGGAAGGAAGAGCCATAAAATGTCAACAGTCACTGCTGTGTAGGGAGCTTTGAAAGGTGTTTTGGACTTCTCCATGTTTTCCGATTTTTCTACGTAGGCATGTATTAGAATTGATACTAAAATGTGTTTAATAGCATTTTTTTTTAATTCACCATTATTCAAGAGGCTGGAAATACACCTTTACACTTTAAATATTGTGAAAACAAAATAAGAATGACTGGATGAAAGGAGTTTACCTTTACACATATGCTTACGAATGAAAGGCTCACTGGATAGGGTTCTGCCACCCCACCCCTTTTTGAAATACATGATTCTCCCTCCACTCGCTGTCAGGATCTGTCACATTATATTCTTTTTCTTTTCATAGCATTTTTAACTCTCTGAAAGTGTTTTTCTTCCCCTCTACTATATAAGCTATCAGAAGAGAGACCTAGCTTGTCTCTTTTCTTATTTTATCCTCAACACCTAAAAACACTGTCTAGAATTCAGCATAAATGTATGGTGGATGAGTGAATGTGAATGTAAATGAAAAGATAAACACTAGGTAGGTAGTCCTGGCCGACTATATTTTAGCTCGTGGCTGATGTGTGTGCATGTGTGTGTGTGTGTGTGCGTGTGCGTGTGTACACACACGTGTAAGTGTTTGTTGGAGGTAAGGGTTGCCATCTGAAAGAGATTGATGACAAGTGATATCATATTTGTTATGTCGAACATACTAGAAAATCAAATAGAAATTTTGTCATCACAATATATGATAGTTAAATAAGGTAGTTAAAAATGGACAGTCTTAATTCTCTTAATAAACCTCTTATTATTCTTCTGTATTCTTAAATACAGAAACTTTCACTTTATAAAGCATCCCTTTAAAAAGTCTCTCAAAATACTTTGGCTGTATGAATTGTCGTACCCAAGCCTCAGAAGCTGTACTAAGACATGGTTTTAAAATATTTTTTATCGAATCTCTTAATTTTCTTATCCTCCTAGGAGAAAATGAGCAGAGATCACAGTTACTTTGTTCTTGGTTGTAATTACCAGTAAATACAAGCCAAGTTCTAGTATTACGCAGCAATAAAACAATCAGTTTAAACTCCGAAAGGGTATATTATATTCTGCTTCCCTTGAGATTGTACTTAATAATTTTTTAGATATGCTGTAAAGATCACTTTGTATGTGTTTATGAAGCTACCTTTGTTTTTTTTTAAATGTATTTGATAATGCTTTTCCTCCCTTATTATT